TGCTCATCAAAGTTTCAATCATCGCTTTAAACATGTCGCAAATTAAAATCCTTGTGAATTCTTCTTCTTCTTCTTCGCGCTCACCGACTGTCAACTCCGGTGGAGAGTAGAGTAGTTTGTCCACCTCTAGACCTAAGTCCAGTTCTAGAACCTGAGTGTTGCGTGCGCATCCGTTTTACAGACATGACTTATTTTATGGATATTTTTAATTCCTTGCCTTTCAGGCAGATGCACTCAGACTAAAAATGAATCCCCCCCCCCCCTCCCCAATTATTCGACTCTTAGGTCATGCTTGTTAGGAAGGCAGTGGGTTTATTCGTGTTGCCCAAAATAGGGGTCTAAAACCCAAAAAGGAGTAAAACGAAGTTAATTATGACCATTTCTTGGAAGTCAGAATGCATCTGCCCGACAGACAAGGACCTAGAGTATGCATACAAGCTAGATCTGTCAAACGGATGTGCACACAAAACTCAAGTTCTGAAAAGAAAATGAAGTCTAGAAGTGACTGACTGACTTTCTACCCTACCAGGACATCACACAAGCGATAAACACCCGATGACACAAAGTGCCACCATGCGGATGAGGATCGCCGTGGAGAGGTCCCAGAAACCGCGTTCAGACAATTGGCCATATTTATGGCCTGCCTATATTGCGGCACCTGGCAAAGGCCAGGGTAGGGCTTCAAATAACAAAAAATTTCGTCCTGCAAAGGACGAAACTGGATGAAGTCTAGAAGTGAACTGAACTGAATTTCTACCCCACCAGGACAGCACACAAGCGATAAACACCCGATGACACAAAGTGCCACCATGTGGATGAGGATCGCCGTGGAGGGGTCCCAGAAACCGCGTTCAGACATTTGGCCATATATATGACCTGCCTATATTGCGGCCCCTGGCAAAAGCCAGAGTAGGGCTTCAAATGACAAAAAATTTCGTCCTAAAAAGGACGAAATTGGATGTATATCAGTCTAGAAGTTGGCGAACAGCCAGAACCTTCCTTTGCATTTATAGGTGGTGAGCACACACACACACAAAAGAATACATAGATGGGGGCCGCTTTACCATCTTACAAAGTATCTTGGTTTTGATGGGGGGGGGGGGGGGGGTGGGGGGTGGTTAAGGTATCAGTACAAGTCACCCTATCCTGTCGGCCGCGAGATTTCGTGTCGGCTCCCGAATTCACGAGAAGTGGTAGTTTGAGACAAGGGAAATAACTCATACAAAATCGATTACGCCAAGATTTCGACAGTTGTGGGAACTGAATTATATACTTTTATGTTTTAAGAATCTTCATTAAATGTGTGTACGCGCCGTTAGATAGACAGAGATAGAGAATGTGTGATACAGACAGACAGACAGACGGACGGACAGGCAGACAGATAGATAGATAGATAGATAGATAGATAGATAGATAGATAGATAGATAGATAGATAGATAGATAGATAGATAGATAGATAGATAGATAGATAGATAGATAGATAGATAGATAGATAGATAGATAGATAGATAGATAGATAGATAGATAGATAGATAGGTAGATAGGTAGATAGGTAGATAGGAAGGTAGATAGGTAGGTAGATAGGTAGGTAGGTAGGTAGGTAGATAGATAGGTAGATAGATAGATAGATAGATAGATAGATAGATAGATAGATAGATAGATAGATAGATAGATAGATAGATAGATAGATAGATAGATAGATAGATAGATAGATAGATAGATAGATAGATAGATAGATAGATAGATAGATAGATAGATAGATAGATAGATAGATAGATAGATAGATAGATAGATAGATAGATAGATAGATAGAAAGATAAATAGATAGATAGAAAGATAGATAGATATCTTGTGATCCCCAACTACATGTATCAGTTCATGCCCTGACACACTTCCTTACGTAAGAAAGACGCACATTTAAATTTTCATCATCATCATCAAATGCTTTTTATTACTGGCATGAGTGACGATGTTTCTCCTTATCTTGCGACCGCCAACAGCACACATAAGCTTATATGTTGGCAAATTTATATTCCGTGACAAGATACACACATTTCATAATATGAAATGAACGCTAATAAAAAAAATAGTCAGCACAAAAATCAACAAAAAAGGTTATAATAAATTAGTTATTGTTATAATAAATTGTACGGTTCTGACAGCTGTTATAGTTTTAGTAGTAATTATAGTGAGGAGCGGCCATCATGCCTCTCAGGGTGATGCATACTAAAGCGACCAATTCAAACACTCTCAAAATCAACTGCCTATTTTACCATAATGCTTTTTTGAAAGTGTTAGAATGTGTATTTCAGTTAAAAAAGATTTACTTATTTGCTTCTTTTAATTTAATTGTTACTGTAGTATGCACCTGACAAGTTACAGCAAAAGTATGACAGGCAATAAACTGCAATCTATTGTTTTTGTCTTATTTGTTCAAATTTACAATGAGAAAACACTCTTTTGAGATATTATAGTGCTAGTACAGGTACCAACGGGCAAACTTGATGGGAAAAGTGCACAGCAAAGATAGATAAATACCTGGATTACTTGGCCACATGGATTTGGGAAGAACAAGGACACTGGCCTGATCTCTGATTCTGGTGATTGTATGAAACTGCAAACTATCTTCTTCTTCTTCATCAGCATTTTCTTGTCTTTCTACTGTCACCTCATCGAAGTTTTGAGGGAAGATGAAACGATGTTCAGTCTGCTCTTTCTAATGTGTTGTATAAGTGGACCTTCATTTCTTTCTGTACCAAACAAAGCAGCATATATTTCATGGTAACTCCAAAGACAATATGATACTCTTACTGTCTTCTGTTATAAACAGAAGTTACTTTAATCCTTTGTAATTTTATATTACTAACTCCAGTCCCATAATGCCTGTGTACTTCTGTCCCATAATGCTTGAGTTCTCCTGTCCCATAATGCTTAAGTTCTCCTGTTCCAGAATGTCTGTGTACTCCTGTCCCATAATGCCTGTGTACACCTGTCCCATAATGCTTGAGTTCTCCTTTCCCATAATGCCTGTGTACTCCTGTCCCATAATGCCTGTGTACTCCTGTCCCATAATGCCTGTGTACTCCTGTCCCATAATGCTTCAGTTCTCCTGTTCCAGAATGTCTGTGTACTCCTGTCCCATAATGCCTGTGTACACCTGTCCCATAATGCTTGAGTTCTCCTTTCCCATAATGCCTGTGTACTCCTGTCCCATAATGCTTGAGTTCTCCTGTCCCAGAATGTCTGTGTACTCCTGTCCCAGAATGTCTGTGTACTCCTGTCCCATAATGGCATGGTCTCCATCAGATCCCCATATTTACTGCTTTTAAGCTCAACTACTTAAAGAGTTAAGGTGGTTCTGATGCCATCATTCCATATTTTATGGGATCTTCCCCGGCTCTGTATGTAGTATATTTCTCAATTACAGATCTCTATGGCAGCTGGTACCAGGGCATTCTCGTCAGATGGCCAAATTATCACATCTGTTGCTCTTTAGTGAAATAAATAAATCTATGATCATTTATGCTCATCAGCATGGTAAATGGAGTTAACTGTTACAGTGCTATTATTTGTTAGAGTTCTTGAAACTGTTATAATTCTGGTAATTTTATTTTCCCTACCGCAGCACTTCCCCAAATGTTTTATACATATCAGTTTTCTTTCCTCTTCTTAAAAATTACCAAGTAGCCATTGATCAGAAGGGCTATATTATAAAAGTTTTTATGCCATGAAAAAAATCGTCTGCAGTCTTCACAGTGAAGGCAGGCTACAGAATCCTCACTGCTGTCTTTGAGAATTTTATGTGGTGATGCTCTCAAATCTTTCCATGGTATGACTCTCATTCCTTTGAGTACAAAAACGTACTAGAAGGAAAAAAAATAAACCCTCTGTTGCGTAAATTAAACCCTAGAACTCAAGAATCATGCGGCCCTTTCACTAACCTTTTAGCCACAACAGCTGTACTTTCAGCTACACAATTTTTCACAAATATTTTTACAGACTGGTACCTGCTGTGGACAACATCAAGCCTGTCACCTTGACTTCTCAGAACATTTTCTAATGTTCATTTTGGGTACAGTAAGAAGATAATCAATCAATCAATCAGGAGCCATCTTCACACTGAAGGTGGGCTACAAGGGATAACCAACATGCTGTCTTTCATTCTGGATAAACACTCTTTTAGACTGATATTCATCCGCCTACTGATGTTATCCTTTTGACTGCCCTCCGTCTCTTGCTTGCTCACCTTCAACTTTTCCCTCCAGTATGGATTTTATAAAAAAGTCCCTGTAGATCAAGAAGTTAAGAAAATTTGCTTGCATTGGAGAAGATACATGTTGAGAAAACCTGAGAAAAATATAACTAGAATGACCCTGCATTGGAATCCACAGGGGCATAGGAATAAAGGCAGACCAAAAAATATATGGAGAAAGGAGCCAGAGAGTGAAGTTAAAAAAATGGGGAGGACATGGGGAAAGCTGCATGCAATAGCTTGACCGGAGTTGGTTGAGGCCTTTTGCTCCGTTGGTGGATAGAAGGCAGAAAAAGAAGATGGATTTTACAAGAATGATATGCCTTTTAATATGGCCAAAATAATTTACCTATCTCTTTTTAATTTTATTCGGCAGCTCTCTTTTCATTCCTGGTCACTTCAGAACCTTTTTATTTGATTGTTTTTGTTCCAAGAAAAAAACCTTTTCTTCAACTGCTTGTGCAGTGTCGATATCTCTGCACCATACACTTGTTCTGAGTATGCAAGGTGTCCCATAAGACTTCACACGTAGGAACAATAAAAGTATCTCCAATGTCAGTACAAGAAGCATAACTCCAACTGTGCTTATTCATGACTCCACTCCTGAAAAACATGTATATGCACAATCAAAGTAATGCTTCTTGTAATGATGTTGGTAATAAGTTTATTGTTTCTATGTATGGAAACTTATAGGACATCCTGGTACATAACATTTGACAAACAGCCTATAAACCCTAACTTAAATACTTACATTCTAACGGCTTGCCTACTCCTATCAAATTCTTTTTCTACACCCTTGTCTCCCACATCATTGAATATCACCAAAAACAACTTCCTTCCCCTGTCAACATGAGGATAATCACCAACTACAACACCCTGGAAGTATTCAGCAGCATAAAGAATAGCATCTGCCAATTGGCCAGGATTCATTGGATAAAACTGTATCACTGCCTTCCCTTGTGGTGTCAACAGAGACTTTAACGATGAAAAGAACAAGCGCAGCTGCCTCTGTCTATTACCGTAAAAAAGCCACTGCAGAAATGAAATGCTTATGGCAAAATCAAAAGTACCAGCTCGGAATGGTAATCCATGTCTCAAATCCCATCGAATTATATCTGTGAATCCAGTAGAAATATATTTTGCGTTGCTACTCACAGTGGATATATCTCTGAAATCACCATTCGCCCAATTATCTGCTTGTTTGCTAGTGCTGCTTGTGACAAAGTTCAGACCTACACTGCAAGGCTGTAAACTCTCACCGGTATGATTGACAGTAATTTCTTTTTGAAATGGTCTCCTTCGTTTGAAATTTGACATTTGAAATTCAGAAAGCCCACGTAAATTCAAATCTATGCCAACACAAGGATATCCCATGTCTAAAAGGGGCTGGGTACTAGTTCCGTCTCCACAACCGATATCAAGAACCAATGTGTTTGTCTTATCTTTTCTGAAATTATCAGAATAACTGTTTGTACTTCTGTTTATTTCAATGTCATGAAAAAGGTTTACAGCTTTTTCAACAAGCTCTTGTTGGATACGTTTATTTTTGGTATACCTAGGGCTGAATTTGTCTAAAAGGGTCACCTGATCAAAGGTCTCACCAGAGTTTTCAAAATGCAATGCATCGTTGTTAACTATTAACTCTGGCCGTCTTTGAAATCCACATTTAACAGTTTGAATCTTAAAGTCTGCTAGATTTTTACACACTGCAACTCTGCCTGGTAAGGAAAGCTGGTCAACTGGAGTGTTTGGAAACACAAAAAGCTTCTTGTCCAGGCAGTGAAGTGATGCATACTGTTTTTTAAATCGCTTGATTACCAAGCAAATCTCAACTGGCAAATTAAACTGGTCAGCTCTGTTAAATTTCCACAGAAGTAACCTCCTTTTGATCATCATTCTATCTGCAAATTATAATAACAAAAAAAATAACCAATGTCACCAGAGGTCAGACAAAGAAAAACAAATTATGTAATGTTATACAAAACATGTTTTAACATATGGCTTTGCATCCTGGACAATCAGTAAACATTGTCCTTGTGTGAGGCCCTGTTGTAAGGGGAGAAAAGGAATAGATAGACCAATTACCCCCAAACATGTCCTAAAAGTCACACGAGTGAGGAGTATTGTCTGGATTTTTTCACCGGGTCACACTGGTGTGTTAGGAAATGAACAGGCGGACAGACTTGCTGGTTCTACACAACTTGGTGGAATACTAATATACAATAGGGCAGACATGGTTAGTGCCTTGTGAAAGAGCGTGTAAAATTCGGAGGAGCAGATGGATTACCACAGTCTGGTGAGATTGATGCAGTTGGGGGTGACGAGAGGTTCTGGCAGAAGCTTGAGGCTCAGAGGAAAGGCAAGACGGACGTTTAATCAGAAAGCTACTGGCACCATTAGTATCGGAACTCTTCGCTGGCTGCTGAAGATGGGGACGGAGAGCTTATGGGAATGCCCCGAGTGCTGTGATGTCAGTTCTTGAATCAAATCAAATCAAATCATTTCCTAAAAGTCAAGGAAATAGGGATGTTTTCTTTGAAGTCGTGAGAGGTGAAGAACCAACAGTCTGCATACAAATAAACCAGCTTTGTAAAATTAATTTGCATGCACAACTCCGGTTATGGAACCATTACTTTCCGCTGGAGTTTACAAACAGTGAACACAAAGAAAAAGAATAGGGTAAACATGGCAAACAAATCAAGAATGAGTAATATTACTCTTGTACACATTTTGAATAAGACTAAAAGGACCGCTTTTAAAAAAAAAAAAACAGACTCAGGCAGTCATTTGTGGCCCCAAAGGGTGTTAAGGAAAACTGGAGCATGTAGTACTAATTATTTAATCAACAATTTCCAATTCACCCTTTCTGTGTTATAACTGAAATATATATAGTTTTTGACTTTTCTTAAATTAGATTTTTATGTTTGCCTAAAACTTTTTAGGATAGCTTTTTCTTCAAGAAAAAAGGTGCCAGTACTTGTAAGAAATTGTCTAACATAGGTGCCACTACTCACTACGGAGTCTATATTACAGTAGTGCTGAAAATATGATACCTAATAAAGGTCATAAAATGTTACGAATACCTTGGATGGCCAGAGTAAATAACAATGATTGCTTGAAAGAGGCTATATACAACAATAAGAAAAAGACAAACACTGTTCTTTGGCCACATAATGAGAAGAGAGACTTTGGAGAACATGGTGACAGCTGGAAAGATCAGTGGAAAGAGGGGTAGAGGCAGACCAAGAGAGACGATGCTGTATAAGCTGAAACGATGGCATCTAGGGATATAATCAAGAGCAACCAGGGATCGTGATCTGTGGAGACGCATGAGCGCCTACGCTGGTTGGCAGAGCACATGATGATGATGAGAGATCAGGGCTTTTCTACTTGAGGCCCGTGGGCTGAATCTGGCTAATGGAGGCCTAGCAAGAGGCCCCCATATCATTACCAGTTGTACTGTATCAACGATCTTTATATGCTGAAGTTTAGGCTTCTGGCCCATGGCGATCACCATTTTAACACTTTTGCCCCACCCAGTCAACACAGTTGAATAGCTCTGTTACATATTACAAGGTTAAGTATATTACATTTTAAGTTTACATTTCAAAAAACAAAACAAAAAACACAAGCATGATGATTACAAATAACTGATAATCAGATTGTGTTATCTATATATGGGTACATTTAGAGTGGTAAACCCTGTTCACAGATCCTTGTACATGTGATGTTTAATCTTTTCCTGAGTTATCTAGAGCAGTATTTTTCAACCTTCTTACACTCGCAGCCCATCAAAACAGGGCAAATTACTTTGAGGCCCACATGACAGTTAGCCAAACACAGAAACAAAAACAAACATAGAAAGCAGTTTATGTGTTTACCATCATCAGCTGATTCGACATATTTGTTTCGCAAATCTGAGTTGTTAATTCCACAAACTGCAATTCTGGAAGAGAAAATCTACCTAAAATATCATGTTACATCAGTGATTCCCAAACTGCATCGCAGCGCCCCGGGGAGCGCGACCTTTTCACAGCGACGACGGGAATATTTGAAAAAAAACACAAGTTTTGTTCTTACATACCAGTAGTCATACTTTTATTTACGTTATGGTACCGCAGACAAATTTTAATTGAAAAAAGCCACAGCGACTGGGAAAATTTTGGGAAACACTGCGTTACCAGATAAGGCAGACATTTTCGGTGGCCCACCTGGATTTGTCCAGGGCCCACCAGAGGACCACTGCCATAGCGGTTGAAGAACACTGATGTAGAGCTACCTATCTTGAACAAGTTCTCCATTGTTATATCGTCGTTAGTTTTTGCTTGTTTACCCCTGAACATTTTAGAATCTCTTCATAGATGGGACACAGAAACATTTGATGTCACCAACTGGAAAGAGAAGGCCAACCAGAGAGATGAATGAAAGCAGATGATATCTGCAACAATGAACCTCAAGGGCTCAGAATGCTGAAGAAGATGCAGATCATAGATGTGAAACTAACAAGGCAAAATCTTAGATACCTTGTTCAATCTCTAAAGACGTTATAACTGGGACATTATTATGGGAATAGCAGCCTAGTTAAGTTTAGCCTGCAGTCCTATGTTGGTAAGGAATAACACTCATTGTCAGTTGATCATATTTTCGTGCTACTACTGTGTTACCGTTTTAAGAAAAAACACTTGATAGTAAATGTGACAGTCATCTTTACTTTGAGCTGCAATACTTTTTTCTTATTTGTTCTGCCGTTATTTGTTTCATTGTCAAACTTTTCAATCCCTTGAATTCCCCACACGTAGGGGTGCCCTTGCGATGAGCAATTTATTTATCCGTTTATCTTTCTGTTACCTGTTTTGAGTTTTGCCTTGGTTACTGATCTTTCATGGGAAAAACATCACGTTTTAAAGTGCCTAGACCTAAAACGGTTCATTTTAATCAAGTAGAGAAGAATAGTAAAAAGCCCTAGTTAAATGTCAGTAGGGGTATTTGAACTTTAAAACAATGCGCACACAGACCTATTTCAAAGAGATTGCATCACGCCGATATGTACCTCGGGCGCTTCCATGACGGTCAGACATTCCTACATTTTGCTTCACACGATCGATCATTGCCAAAATAGATTTACAAACATCTACTAATTGTTTATCATTCATAATAAATTTTATAAATATTTTCAGCATAATAATACAATTTAGTAAAAGTTTTATCTAAGAAAAATACACATTTTTAAAATAAGAATCTTTAAAAAGTTCTGTTTATTTCGTGATACCAATTTTTGAGTTGCTCACGCATGGAAGCCGCAACAATGGCGAACGTAGATAAGAAAACACTAGAGGAACAGATAAAAATCCAGGGCGAAATCGTGAGAAAGTTGAAAGCTGAAAAGGCTGATAAAGATAAGGTTAGAATCGTTAATGTGTTAGCTGTGTAAAAAAAGTTTCTGTCTTATTTATTTAGCGATAGTAGTTATTATTACACGTGACCATACCTTTTCATACTTTATTCCCGTTTCCAGTCGCGTTGACAGTTGACACACTGAACAGTACTGACAGACTCGGTGACTGTGAATGATGATGATGAGCCAGGCTGTGAAAATAGCTTGAAGAAAGAGTTATAGAATAGATTCATATAATTTTATGCAGTAGTAATTCTGATATTTTCTGTTTGAATGTTTTATTTCTTTCGTCTACTTTGTCATTTTAATAATCAGGCTAATTTAATTGCTAATTTGGTTTTTGTAGCTACTTCAGTAAAATTTTTAAATGCCCTCTACACCAATAAAACCAGCACAGTTAGATAGTTGTAAACAATTTCTTTCCAATGGTACCTCATTTAGGCTTGTATGTCATTTCTGAGCTGAGATATGTAGGTTTTTGTGGAGATGAGATGTAAGAAACAGCCGCTAAAACTTGTGACCCAGAAACAAGAAAAGAAGTTTTTTACTGCGCAACCTACTGCGCAGTTCTGTATCGGCTTTGTTTACATTGGACTGTCATTGGACAAGATGGCAAGCAATGAGACACAGCCACTGGCTGAGCCAGCGATTGCTTGAAAAATGTCACTACATCTACCTAGCCACCGTTCAGAAAGAAATTTTATACACCAATGTAAAATTGGACGGAGAATTCAATTATAACTAGCATTACCAGGACGAGTAACTGTTAAAGCCTAAAGCCAACCTCGAATTTACCGCTATTTTCAATCAAACTGATGACTAACAGAAAAACAGAGGACGTCCGGCTGTCGTAGACATGCGCTGTTAATCAAGTTCCTTCCCGCCGTTTTCAGCTATTTAGAGTGGGTAAAAATCACACCAATCGCAAAATTTCATGAGAGATTAGGACCCATCCCGAAACCCCAGTCGACATTTCGGAAACAAGTTTCAAACGGTTTCTATGGTAACGGAAATTGTCTAAAAGATCACAAATTTCCGAAACTGTAGTCCCTAGTTTTTGGGCTAACCTCCGAATAACGGTCCCAAATTATCGAGGCTAAAAAAATACCCTAACGGGGCCTCAGTCGTATATAAATTGCAGAACTCTTTCCGGCAACTATACCGCCACCAAAGAGAGTATCCCCCATGCTGCTTAAACTAGATGGCTGGGACTCACGAGCAAATTAAATGGAGGAAGCTGCAGGAGATGTGATAGCTGCTGCTCATGAGTCCCAGCCATCTAGTTTAGCGGGGACTCTAACTCGGTGGAAGCTTTTCGCGGTATGATATATAGTTGCCGGAAAGAGGTCCACAATTTACATATGACTGAGGCCACTGTTATGTTAAGGTATTTTGACTATCCTCCGAATAACGGTCCCAAATTATTGAGGCCGAAAATATACCCTAACAGGGCCTCAGTCACGTGTCACTTACGTACTTCAAGCAACTTCCGCCACCGCCGAGAGTATCCCCCCCTCCCCCATACGCCGCTCATGTGGCATGAATTACTGCTAAACGGTCTTGTTGGACTGGGACTCACAAGCAGCAGCTACCGCATCTCCTGCAGCTTCCTTCATTTTATTTGCTCGTGAGTCCCAGCCATCTAGTTTAGCCCCAATCCGCGCGGCGTGGGGGGATACTCGTGGCGGTATAGTCCCCAGAAGTTTGCAATTTAGACGGGACTGAGGCCCTGTTTGGGTAAATTTTTGGCCTCAATAATTTAGGACCGTTGTGGCTTGGTGATTTATGTCACAGGCGTGAGGGGAAGTTAAGTCCAACATGATGTGTATAAGGAGATACTCCGTACGTCACTTAGACGCCAGTCCTTCACTGTTCTGGTTTTACGGAATCTCACGCAAGACCCCTGCAGCACGTCCTCGTCGTGCGCCACGGATAATGTCTCAAATGAGCATTAACAGAGCTGTCAGGGGATCTCGGAGTTTGGCGGCCCCCAGAAGTGATGTGTCCATGTGGCTCTCATCAGCCCGCTCCCAAACGCTTGGGTGAAATAGGTTATCAAACTCATTAGGAACATGAGTATGCTTGCCAAACGTACAGCTAAAATCACAACCCTTGGTTAAAAGATTGCGGAGTGAAGAAAACATTGTTCACTGTACGTCCTCTGTTAACCCTCAGTGTCGTCGTCACCACGCTGAGGTACACCACAACAGCAACCATCCATAGGCTGGCCATCCATGTACATCCTCGGTTAACCCTCAGTGTCGTCGTCACCACGCTGAGGTACACCACAACAGCAGCCATCTATGTACATCCTCGGTTAACCTTCTGTGTCGTCGTCACCGCGCNCAGGGAGATGTGATAGCTGCTGCCTCATGAGTCCCAGCCATCTAGTTTAGCGGGGACTCTAACTCGGTGGAAGCTTTTCGCGGTATGATATATAGTTGCCGGAAAGAGGTCCACAATTTACATATGACTGAGGCCACTGTTATGTTAAGGTATTTTGACTATCCTCCGAATAACGGTCCCAAATTATTGAGGCCGAAAATATACCCTAACAGGGCCTCAGTCACGTGTCACTTACGTACTTCAAGCAACTTCCGCCACCGCCGAGAGTATCCCCCCCTCCCCCATACGCCGCTCATGTGGCATGAATTACTGCTAAACGGTCTTGTTGGACTGGGACTCACAAGCAGCAGCTACCGCATCTCCTGCAGCTTCCTTCATTTTATGTTGCTCGTGAGTCCCAGCCATCTAGTTTAGACCCCAATCCGCGCGGCGTGGGGGGATACTCGTGGCGGTTATAGTCCCCAGAAGTTTGCAATTTAGACGGGACTGAGGCCTGTTTGGGTAAATTTTGGCCTCAATAATTTAGGACCGTTGTGGCTTGGGATTTTATGTCACAGGCGTGAGGGGAAGTTAAGTCCAACATGATGTGTATAAGGAGATACTCCGTACGTCACTTAGACGCCAGTCCTTCACTGTTCTGGTTTTACGGAATCTCACGCAAGACCCCTGCCAGCACGTCCTCGTCGTGCGCCACGGATAATGTCTCAAATGAGCATTAACAGAGCTGTCAGGGGATCTCGGAGTTTGGCGGCCCCCAGAAGTGATGTGTCCCATGTGGCTCTCATCACGCCCGCTCCCAAACGCTTGGGTGAAATAGGTTATCAAACTCATTAGGAACATGAGTATGCTTGCCAAACGTACAGCTAAAATCACAACCCTTGGTTAAAAGATTGCGGAGTGAAGAAAACATTGTTCACTGTACGTCCTCTGTTAACCCTCAGTGTCGTCGTCACCACGCTGAGGTACACCACAACAGCAACCATCCATAGGCTGGCCATCCATGTACATCCTCGGTTAACCCTCAGTGTCGTCGTCACCACGCTGAGGTACACCACAACAGCAGCCATCTATGTACATCCTCGGTTAACCTTCTGTGTCGTCGTCACCGCGCTGAGGTACACCGCAACAGCCCATTGGCTGGCTAAGCCTAAATGTCCGACAAAACTAGATCCTACGGCACACGAATAAGCTCAAAATCTGACCATCACAATTTGTATTGAACGGAAAAAGACCAAATGTCCACACCCAAAGACCCCACTCGCCCGAGTGTTGGAACCAAACTGATAACGATATGCCTGACGCAGGATGTAAAATTCTGTCGGGCTAACGGCTCGTCAAAGAAATCTAACGTGCGAAGAAAAAAGAATGTACCTATTCGGGTGGTCACAAAATCCAAAACCCACAGGCTGCTCCCCGCTGACTTCCAGAGGGCGCAGCCCTTGTCGAGCGGGAAGGTTGTGAGGTTAAGCAGGCATGTGCAGGACGTGACGATTCCTTGGGTGAGCCCAGAACCAGAGCGCTATGTGCCGGCTCTGCATACATGGAAGCCTCCTTGGGTGGCGGGGAATGCCCATGATCTGCCCCTGCCTTCCCTTGAGGGCTAACCATTCCACAGGGGGCTGCCCCAAAGGGGTACTCCAGGGGCAATACCTGCGGAGAAGGAGACAAAGTGGACACCACACAAAACAATGGCCACAGTCATCCTAGAAATAGGCCTGACGTCTTCCTTCGAAGTCGGAGTACAGCTGCCCATGAGGCATGGAACAGTAAAACGGTTGTACACGAAAAAATCAGGTCCAGGTGAAAGCCAAAAGTCCAAGCGGGCTATTAACCTTTACCTTCCGCCGGAATTCACAGCCGGTGAATGATAAAAAAAAAGGGCCGTTATTCGGAGGGTAGCAAGTATTTTCTTAGCCTAGATAATTTAGGACCGGTATTCGGAGGATAGCCCGTTTTTTAATCAATCACTTTCTTTCACCAATTGACTAAATAAATGGAAAACCAAATCACAATGTCAATATGAATAATCTATCTACCTTTCGCAACTTTCTGCTTTGTGACCAAGTTACTGGTTAGTATAGTATAAGTAACTAAGCAGAGAACAGCGGTGTCCTGGCTTTCTCTTGTTTGCCAGATAAGTTACAGAATGGTTGTTTTTTTTTCTTGTTTCTGGAATGTGTTCTTCTTATAGTCATTTACAAAACATACTTTTGTACTATAATACCATATTTTGTCAAGAGATTTTGTACTTTTATAAAGTGACATGCTGTTGGGACAACCCTTTTGCAAAACCTAAAATGGGTACTTGGAATTCTATAAGAATATTGCGGCACTAATACTAATTGAAGGAAAAGGTCAATTACTTTTTAATTTTCTTGTGTTGAAAAATGTCCATGCCTATTTATCGGGTTCTTACCAGAATTAGTTTTATTATTACTGCACATTATATGTAGTTTACACTGTATATTTCCTGTTGACCTGCAGTCTTCTTGAAAATTTAGCTTGTCAGTTTGTTTATTTATTTTTTTTAGCAAAATCTGGCTACCAATTTCCTAATTTCTCACCAGAAATGCTGACAAAGGATTCTTTTTCTACTTTGCATATTTTGCTGACTGCTGATCCTCATGTGCTTGACTACTGAACTAATCCTGGTTCAAACA